GAGAGTCAAGGGAACTCAGACACAGTGTCTTACTGGGTGAAAAGCCACAGACTGAAACAGGAATTTCGGTGTGCTCTGAAACTGGGGTGAGCTGTTTTTCTCACTAGAAGTCACATGATTGAAAATCTGTTTCTCTTATGAAGCTCTCATTTTCATTTTTCTAAAAAAAGTAAACATTAAAAAAAAACAAAAAAAAACCTTACCAAAGAATTTTTCAACAAAATTATGTTTATCAGTTCCTTTTTCTGTTATTGAATATGCCTGCACCAAGAAGACACAGTACCATCGTTTTCAGTACATTTTCAAGATCAAGCACTGAGGCAGTGGGCAATGTCCTAATTTAGAAATAGAAACAGAGAAGAGTTTTAGAAACGTAATAATTCAGCGTTATGGGAAACAGGAACATGGCTCCATAAAACCGTCTGGTCACTAATGTCGTGGTCATGTTGTTAGTGACTGGCCTGGGATAGCCTGGACCAGCCAGCCCTGCAGTGTCTCCTCCTGCCCTGCAGGTTTCACCTACCTCTTTAAGGGCGCCCTCTACTGGCGCTTTCCCCAGGGCACCGTCAAAGCCGAGCCAGACTCCCCTCAACCCACAAGCTCCCATTGGGTGGACTGCCCGGGCCTCAGGCGCTGGTCCTCCTTCCTGCACAGCCCCCAAAGTCATTCCCAAGCCCGGAACCTGCGACTTTCACTGTGAAATAAAACTAGGCCGTCGGTGCCTTCTCTTGCTGCCCCGCTGCCTCTGATTCTGGGAGGGGGTAGGTCGCCACCAGCTGATGGGGGACAGGCCCTACACCGAAGGGTCCGGGTCTCACACCACTGGCCTGTGCGGCGTTGTGATGGCTGCCTTGCCCCATTCTCTGTTCCCAGGGGCGGGCTCAGAGCAGTTGGGCCTGGGTTCACGTGGATGGAGTTAAACCGAGGGGACGAGGGGACAAACGTTGGCCCTTGGACTAAACACAGGAAGTGTCAGCTTTTCTTACACCCCTCTCTCCCTGGACACTCCACACCACGTGTTTCCTTTGCAGGACTTTCGTGTTCCCGGAATAGGTGGCTTTTCTGAGAGAGCAGCAGGCTGACTCCCTTCCCTGTAGCCTTCCCTGTGCCTGGCAACAGTGACTCAGTCTGTTTGGGACTTTACAGAACAGGCCTGATTAAGAGACTGAACACCCCCCACCACGCTTCTGAGTTTTCCAGAAGTTCCTCATCTGCCCTGCTTCCACCATGTACGCCCCAGTCAACACCACTTGGGTGGGGACCTGGGAACCAGCAGGGAGACCGCCCCTGAGCACCTGTGCTGCACGTCCTGGGTGACACTAATAGCCATGAGGGAGGCCCTCTCCATCTGGCCTATAGACCTCCTTGTTGGTCACCACCAGGGACCCAGACCTGCTCCTATTCAGCAGGACACCCTCGTATTCCTAAAACCAATCTCCGTCTACACACTAGAGTGTCTGAGTACTATCTTAATCCCGGGTCACTACCTCCTCAGCACTCTAGGTGACAAGTGGATGGAACCTGGGCCACCGCAGTCACCCCCCCACCACACTCTTCACAGACTTCAGGATCTAAAACTGCCTCTGGAACTGTGCTTCCAGAATGTTCCACATCAGAATCACCTAGGGACTTCAAAATGCAGATCCCGTGCAGTCGCCTGAATCATGAAACAGGGTGCACCCAGGACTCTGCATTTGAACAAGCTGGGGGTCAGTCAGGTGGCCTGATGGGCAAGGGGGCTGGGCCAGCAGCTCCCATCTCTGTCTAGTGGGTTTTCTGTGTCTCTGCCATGTTTCCCCAAGAGCCATACAGACCCAAGCTGATGGCCTTGGTTGAGAGGGGGCAGCCCCATGGGTAGAGTCACTCAGTGGCCACTTCTTAAGTTGCCATCCAGCCTCAGGCCCCACGATGCTACATGGAGCCAAGACTGTGAGCTGTAGTGTCAGGGAGCAGGGAGGGTGCCCATTATTAGTCAGGACTAGTAGGCCACTGTGAGGGCAACAGCCAGGCATCTTCAACCAGCCTGTGACCTGAGAATCCTAAGCCACCAATAAAAATCCATCTGGGCCTTGAAGTATGAGGAGGGGGAACTTGTACTTGAAACACTTACCAGCCCCACTCACAAGGACACTAAAAATGACTGGAGAAAAAGTCCTTCATTTCTCCTGAGCACGATGGACCTTTTGTAGCAGGAACTTGACAGCCCTACTTTGCAGAGTTGGAATCCAGAGTTGGTGGGTGGCAGGGGACAAAAGGAGAATGAGTGGGAAGAGGAAGCAGAGAGAGGAACCCAAAAGGTGGCTGTGGGAGCCCAGAGAAGGGGTGTCCAATGTAAACTTTGAGGCTGCTTTCAGTGCTATATGGGAACTTCTCCAGCCTTTAAGAATTTACTAAGTCTGCTATGCAAAAATATCATGTCAAATTCATTCATATGATTTTTAAAATGGTTCAGTCCCATAATCAAAAGTGAAAACCTTGGTGCTTCAAAGGACACTGTCAAAAAGTAAAAAGACAACCCACAGAATGGGGAAAAAAATTGCAAATGCTAAATCTGATAAGGAACTTGTATCCAGAACATAAACGACTCTAGAACTTCATAATAAAAACACAAAAAACCCAATTTAAAAATGGGCAATGGATCAGAGTCTACATTTCTCCAAGGAAGATATACAGCTGTTCATAAGCACATGAAAAGGTGCTCAACATTATTAATCATTAGAAAAATGCAAATCAAAACCTTAATGGGAAACCATTGCACACCCACTAGGATGCCTAGAATCAAAAAGACAAAATAGTAAATGTTGTTGAGGATGTGGAGAAATTGGAGCCCTTATACACTGCCGCTTGGGATGTAAAATGGTGCAGACCCTTCGGAAAAGAGTCTGCTGATACCTCAAAAAGTTAAAAACATAGTTACCATATAAATTATCAATTCTACTCCTATATCCTCAAAAAAGAAAAAAATGGATATCCAACAGAAACATGTACATGAATATTCATAGCAGTGTTATTCATTCTTGTCAAGAGATAGAAACAACGCAAATGTCCATCAATCGACGAATGGTAAAATGCAGTCTATCCATATTGTGGAATATTATTCAGCCATGAAAAGGAATGAAGCAATGACACATGCTATAATGTGGATGAACCTTAAAAATGTTATGCTAAGTGAAAGAAACCAGACACAGAAAGGTGACATAGTGTATGATTCCACTTATATGAAATATCCAGAATCGGTAAATCTATAGACCAAAAGCAGATTAGTTACCTAGGCCGAGTGGGGAGTGGTGATGTGGTGTCTTGGGGATGGTGGCTAAGGGGTTGCTGAATTTCTTTTTGAGGTGATGAAAACATCCTGAAGTTAATTGTGATGGCTGAACAGTTCTGGGCATTGAATTGTACATGTTACTGGGTGAATTGTATTATCTGTGAATTATATCTCAGTAAAGCTATACAAAAATGGTATAGTCCACAATGAAACACAAAATGTCTTCAGATGGTGGCCATTGTGAGACAGTCATGGCGGGGCTGAGTGCCATGTGTGGCAAGGGGGACAGGCTTCTGGAGATGAAGGCCAGAAATAATACGTGTACCTGAAGCAAGACCAACTCCCTTCTCTCTCTCCCACCCTGAAATTCAAAGACAGCTCAGGGAAGGCTCTGGACTTCTTGGGGGTGGGAAAGGGGTTTCAGACAATTGAAAGGGCTCCTAAGGGGCAGGGAGATGCCAGCTGAGGTCTAGTTAACCCAAGTGAGCCTTTCACCAAGCAAGTGTGGTTTGTAGGTCTGTTCCTGTGTGGTTCACTCGGTGGCCCCTCAGGAGCCTGGGTCCTCTTCAAAGATGATAGGGGTTGAATTGTGTTCCCCCGCAATTCATATGCTGAAATCTTAACCTCCAGTACCTCATAATGTGAGCTTAATAAGAGAGACGGTCTTCATAGACGGAATGAAGTTAAATGAGTTCATGAGGGTAGCCCCTAATCCAATACAGCCAGTGTCCTTACACAAATGGGATGTTAGGTGACAGACACGTGAAGAGGGAGAGAACAGCATGTGATCATGAGGACGGCCAATTAGAAGCCTATGATTGGGGCTTTGAAGCGATTTTTCCGTCATGGCCCTCAGAAGGAACCAACTCTGCCAACAGCTGGATTTTGACTTCTAGCCTCCAGAAGTGTGCGAGAATAAATGTGTGAGGTTTAGCCACCCAGTCTGTGGTGCTTTGTTCAGGCAGCCCTGGGACACTAATACAGAGGGCAAGACAGTGGCTGTGCTGAGCTGTGTGGGTCTTTGGCCCAGAGTGGGGTGTTAGGGAAGAGCTGAGAGATGAACCAGGCTGGTGTGAGATGAACCCACCTCAGGGGTCTTGTAGGTCCTGCCACATCCTGATCCTGGAGCTGCTCTAGAACCTTCTCTGGAACCTCTCTTGGGAGATGGGTGAGCTCTGTTCATGGGACCTGGCTGATATTCCCCTATATCTTGAGCTTCAACTGTAGGTCTTTTTTCTCAGAAACTCTTGGAAATGCCCCAACCTGCTTTCCCAAGCCTGGAATTCCCCTCTGCCCCTCCTCCTTTCCAGGCTGATGGGGGCTCAGGGAAGAGGCCTCTTCCACCCCAGAGAGTGGAGGAGACAAGGCTAGGGACCCAGAGTCTAAGGGACATGCCCTCTCCTCCCAGGTCCCTCAGACCTCCCTCTCCCTGTCTTTCCTTCCTTCTGCCTGTCTCTCTCTGTTTTTGTCACCCACCAGCACACACAAATCACAGTCACTCAGCCATGCATCCTCCTCTGGGCAGGCACCACCCTCCCCCAGCTCCGCCTTCCCTCCTCTGCTCTTACATCAGCTGGACCTCCCTCTGGTGCACAGACCTTAGCTGGGCTCTGTGCTGGGAGGATCTGACACAAGGTAACTGGATCAATGCAGCCCCCCTTCTACCGCAGGGAGTTGCTGCCAAAGGGACCTTGTGGGCTGGAGAGAGAGGCTGCTCCTCTGAAACAATTCTCCTCACAATTCTTCTTCCCCACCATGAAACAGCCCCCAAACTCTGAGGAGCCATGTGCTACTCCAAGGTGAGTGATGGGGAAACAGTGGGTCCTGGAGTCCCACTTCCCACTGTATGTCCCCCTCTCCCACCAATGCAGCCCCCACCCCGCTGATCCCTTCCCATGCACCTGTTTCTGTCCCATCCTCTCTGAGCCGTGGGAAGGCCCCTGGGGAAGCAGGGGGTCATGGGAATATGACCATACGTTTAACAGGACCCCAGTCTCATAATGGACCTGAGCCTGGTTCGTTGAATGCCCTGCTGTGCCCATCCTATAATTCTGAGTAATTTTTTACAAAGGACCCCACAGTTTCATTTTGTGCTGAGTCGTTCACCTCATGTTTCAGAGCCTTGTTTGGGGCCAGAATTCCTTTCTGGGAGGTCTATTGTGGAGGCAGCTCTGTGTGTGTGTGTGTGTGTGTGTGTGTGTGTGTGTGTGTGTGTGTGTGTGAGGTCTGGGTGTGTAGGAGGGTCATATACTGGGTTGTCAGAAAAGTCATGACACATTTTTACAATGAAAAACATGGAAAAAATACTTCATGACTTTTCCAACAACCCCAAAAAACCTGTGTATCACTGTTACCCCGTCAGATAGCCCCAGAAAAAATTGAGAAGCTGAGGACCAATATGGTAAGACGGTCTTCCACATGTATGGATGGGGGGCTGGGGGATGAGTGGAGGCATGGTTTCTACTGTGGGAGGCTGAGTATGTTCCAGATCACGTGCGACTCAGGAGGTAGTAGGATTAGGCCATCTTGCCCTAACTTGGTCTCTCTTCACAGCACAGTCACGTAGACTCATTCTGTGATGGTTTGGGAAGCAAGGGAGAAAACCAGGTAGGTCAGTGTTCCCACTCCTGTGCTTTGCACCATTTGAATGGGGTGAGGTGGTGTCACGATGATGACGATGGTGATGATTATGATGATGCTACCTCAGGTCGTCTCATTTCTTACAGTGGACAAAATTCACACCTGTGGGGCAAATAAGTACACAGGTGGGAGATGCGGGGGTCAGGGAGGCTGAGGGAGGTGTCCAAGTCACTGGACATATTGTCGACATTGCACAGAGGCCAGACACCATTCCCCCAGGCACCTAGCTGGACCCAGCTGTGGGAGGTGGGGAGCTGAGAACAGAGGTTAAGAGCGCAGGTGAGAGAGACAGGAGGAATTTAAACCAAGTGATTTTGTCCTGCAGGTCCGTTTAGAACTAGAGAAGATGGAGGTGAGTTTTGGCCTTTCCCTACCCCCAAGGCTTAGTCCCCAGGAGTTGGGCCGGGCCAGGTTATTGGGGTGAACGTTTGGCTCCCTTGTGACTCGCCTGGCCTATGGAGGTCACAGTGGGACTGCAGGAGGCACCAGGCAGGAGCAGCTCTGCAGCCTCCCACCCTGCTCTCCCTAGGACCAAGTCTGCGAGGACTTGCATGATGTCGTGGAAGCTGAATGTCAGAACATCAACCAGGTGAGGCTCAGGCGCTTGTCATAGTCCTCTGTGCTTCGTCTTCAGCCCTGTTCTCACTTGATTTTGGTGCCGCCATGTATGTGCACCCTCCCTAGGTGGGAGCGGACTGGGATGGGTGTGGGCGGAAGGATAGCACTGGGGAACTCAGGATTGCAGCCCAGCACACAGTGGCCAGAGCCCTGTCTTCAGTTCCATGCAAGATGGTGAAGCACCTGAGCTTGGCGCTGGCCTCAAAGGCCGGTCAGGCTCCAAGCAGGTACAGCCATCGTGGTTTGGCCACTGAGGGGAAATGTGGGCCTGAGTCTCTGAGAGACGTCCTCGTGTCTGTGGAGTTTGGGGCATGAAAGCAGGCAGTTTCCATGTGTGGGCTTCTGTCCTGCACAGTCCAGAGCAATGTTCATATTTCTATGTTTGATTGTCGTTGTGAGTGTAGTGTGTGTGTGTGTGTGTGTGTGTGTGTGTGTGTGTGTGTGTGTGTGTGTGTGTGTGTGTGTGTGTGTGTGTGTAATGAACTAGGAGGCCTCTGCCAGGGTCAGGACCTGGGGCTGCACCCACCAACAGAACCCTCCAACAGGACCTTGAACATCCCTATCCCCACAGGAATCTGCTCCTTTACTTCTCAAAGAGGTGCAAGAACTTCGTATTCGAAACCGTTGCAGAGAACAGACCCTTGACCTGGAAACTGAAAGTCCAGCGGCCCAACAGGCTGATGAGACCTTCTTCCAGAAGGTACGCAGGTTGTTCCAGGAGATGCTGCAGCGACTGAAGGGGATGTGGCAGAAGTTGTGGGACTGGATGAAGGAGAAGTTGGCTGGCTTGTGCAGTGCAATGAAGTCTGTCTGGAACATGATTGAGCGTTTGTTCTTCAATGTGGTAGAGTCCTTCAAGAATGTCTTCCAGGACAAAGGAACCCCACAGAGTCTAGTTGAATTGCAGCCACACCTAGGAGCCCTGTGATTCCCCCTTTCTTGGAAAGAAGCTTCTGAAGTAACCTTTGCCCTCCTGCTCATCCTTGACAACCTCCCCCCTCACCTCCTCCCTGTGCACAACCTCTCCGCCCTGCTTTGCCCTGCTTTCCCGTGTTGCCTTCTCCAGGTCTGACATGTTGCTCTTACTACCGCATTTGAATAAAAGTTGGTTGAACTAAATTGAGGGCCTGTTGGGATGGGAGGCAGGGAGTCCAGTGGTTACAGGAAGAAGCTGTGCCTCAGATAGACCCAGGCCAGGGTCCCAACTCTAGTGAGTGAGGACAAGATACCTGACCTCTCTTGTCTTTAAATGGGACACTGGTCACACTGCCCAGGGACTTGTGATGAAGAATTGAATATTTCAGCCTGTGCCTTACACACAGTAGGTACTCAGTAATTACCCACTCTTAGGCAGCAAGGAGCTCAGGCCTTAGACGTTTTGGTCCCTTTTTCTTATCCTGACTTCCCTCTTGGGCCTTCATTACTCAATGTGGGCTGGGGCCTGTGAAACTCCTTCATCTTTCTCTCAAGATCAGAGGCCCGAGGGCTGGGGCAGTGTGTGTGTGTGTGTGTGTGTGTGTGTGAGTGTGTGTGCGCACGCGCGCGTGCGAGGGGTACTAGAGTGCACCCCTATGTGGACAAGGAAGGAAGGCAGAGTTTGGAGGGGGCAACAGTTTGATCTCTGGGCCTGTGGCCTCACCTGGGCCTGCAAATGCAGATTGGGGGAGCCAGGAGCAAGGCTTGAGGGCAATAGCACTGCTAACCATTTCTGAGGCCAAATACACTCCCCCACACCCTCAGCCCTGACTTCCTGCCTCAGGTCCATGTGTGCAACCAACTTTCCATTCAGGGGTGATTTGCAGGAAACAACAGCTGCTGTGAGGAAGATCAAGGTGGGGCCTTGACTTGAAGAATAGCACAGGAGGAAGAAATGGGTCTTTGTGGGGAGGAAACCCATCAGCAGAAGGATGTGGGCAGGGAGTTGGGGCCAGCATGCCTGAGAAACGAAGACATTTCTGTGGGTCAGTATCCTGCACCCTCATCTGCCAGCTTCTTCAGACCCTTTTCAATGGTAGAAATGAACTCTTTTTTTTTTTTTAAGATTTTATTGGGGAATTAAGGGAGGGGAACATACATGTTGCTGTCCTTTTGTTATTCAGTCTAGTTGTGGAGGACGTCGCTTCACTGGCCATGTTGGTATTATCATTGCACTCTTCCTGGGTGAGGCAGTCGCTCGCCGGCCATTGGACGGTGGCTCATGGCTGCTCACACTGGCTGCCAGCCACTCACGGTAGCTCATGGCAGCCCACTGCAGCAGAGGCTGTAGCCTATACCGTTTCTGGCGACTCATGGCAGCCCAGTTCCAGGTTGAGCTGTTGTTCACCATCTTAGCTGTAGAGGGCTCAGTGTCACTGGCCCTCATGGGAGATCCAAACTGGGGCCCTGCGGCTCAGAGCTGGTGTCCCAAGCCAACTTTTTTTTTTTTTTTAGCTGAGCCATCCTGCCACCTGTTGGCAGCTCAGAGGCTGCTCAGCTCGGGCCGGGACTCGAACCGCTGTTGCTCAGAGCTCAAACTCTTGAGCGAGCTCTTAACCAACTGAGTCACTCAGCCGGCCCCCAAGCCAACTTTTAACCAACACGCCACTCGGCCATCCCAGGAATTAACTGTTTTTTTAAAAAATATTTTTTGGGGGGAATTGGGGGATGAGAACAGCACTGAGGAATTGGGGAAAGGGGAACAGACAAGTTGCTGTCCTTTTGTTCTTCAGTCTAGTTGTGGAGGATGTTGCTTCACTCGCCCAAGCTGGCACCATCATTGCGCTCTCCGGGGCAAGGCAGATCAGTCACCGGCTTCTGGACGGCCGCTCTCGGCGGTTGCTGGCCGCTCACGCTGACTGCTGGCTACACACGGTGGCCCATGGCAACCCACTGCAGCAGGGGCTGCAGCCTACACCGTCGCTGGGGACCCATAGCAGCCCAGCTCCAGGTTGAGCTGCCGTTCATCACCTTAGCTCTGTAGAGGGCAGTGTCACTGGTCCTCATATGTGGGATCTGAACCAGGGCCCTCTGGCGTCCCAAGCCAGCTCCTAACCAACGCGCCACTGGGCCGGCCCAGAAATGAACTCTTGATTTCTACAAAGATCTCCACCTAGGGGTCAGCTGCCAGTCCTGCAGGAGGAGGCCATGGCTGGACCCTGACCCTGACAGTAGCTTCTTGGTGACCCTGAGAACCCTGAGGGGCTCTGTTCCACTGGGGAGGGGACTAGCAGGAAGGGTCTTCCTTTCTCTTGTTCCTTGTCCCTTCCTTCTTATCCTGTTAGAAGAGCCCCCCTCAGGCCCACATACTACCCTCCTTCACTTCCAGAGGACCCGTCTGACACGCCTTTACACTGGATGGCCCACCTCTTGCCTGAGTTCTCTGGCTCCAAAGGGATACCCACTGCAGGTCATGGCCTGCCTTCCCTTACTCTTGGCTATATCCTCGCCACACCTGCCATCATCATTCAAGTCCTTTGAGAGCCTGTCCCTGCATGTCTCAAGTGACCCTCTGTCAAACCTCCACTGACCTCTCCTCATGTCCTCCCACTTCATTCTTGCAGAGAAAACCCTTCCTCTGTGCTGAAGCCACCAGGGGCTTTGTGGCCCCACCAACCCCTTGAGGTCACTGTTATGGGGAGGCTGGACAACTGTAATACCCTCGTACCACATCTCCCTGGACATGCCTCTTTCAAGCTATTTCCATGCAGCAGCCAAAGCCTAAATGAGTTCATTGTTAACAATGAAATAATGCCCCACCTAAAAACCTCCTGTCTTCCCACTGTGAATGAATTGTGATCCTGGTCTGTAAGGCCCTGTTTGCGTCATCAGGTCCCTGCAGATCTCCCCTCATGGACAACTTCTCCAGCTTCCTGCAAAGCTCCTCTCATCTCAGGGCCTTTACCCATGCTGTTCCCTCTGTCTGTGATGCCCTTTCCCACTCTCTAGAGGTTGCCTCCCCCTTGTATTGCAGGTCTTGTTCCCCTCAATAGCCCAACAGATTCCCTGGCACCTTGTAGGTGCTCAGAAATAAGCTTTCAATGATGTGAGTTCTCCCAACTCATGCTGAACTCTTAGTTGACCACCCATCTTTCCTCCTCAAAATTTCCTTGTGACATCTGGTGACTCTCTGTACCTCAATCTTCCTCCCAACCCCCAAAAGGGCTGACTTTCTCCAGGCTCAGAGCTTTCCCACCTGTTTCCCTCAGTCCCTTGGGCCCTGGGGGATGAGTTCTCCTTTCCAAACATTTGTTAAAGAGCAGTTTAGTGTCAGTGGGTGGAGGGTCAAGGGAACTCAGACACAGTGTCTTAGTGGGTGAAAAGTCACAGACTGAAACAGGAAGCTTTGGTGTGCTCTGAAACTGGGGTGAGCTGTTTTTCTCACCCGTGTGTTCACCAGAAGTCATGTTATTGAAAATTTGTTCCTCTTATGAAGCTCCTATTTTCATTTTTATTAGAAAAAAAAAAAAGAACCCCAAACACACACTAAAATCTTACCAAGGAATGCTTCAACAAAATTTATGAGTTCCTTTTTTGTGTTATTGAAATTTCCTGCACCAAGAAGTCACAGTATTACCATTGTCAGTACATTTTCAAGATCAAGCACTGAGGCAGTGAGCAATGTTCTAATTTAGAAATATAAACAGAGACAAGTTTTAGAAATGTAGTAATTTAGCGCTTTGGAAAACAGGAAAACCATCTGGTCACTAATGTGGTCATGTTGCTAGTGACTGGAATGCCTGAGTACAGTAGTTTACTTAAGGAGCTTGTACTTTGTCCTGGCTTATGATTACATTTTAAAAGGAATCAATTAGCTTGTATAATATGTATTATGCAATACATTTGTGTATTCTAATCTGTAGATAATGGCAATTATCCACTATTTTCCCTGGACCTATGTAAATTATGTCACATACATCATTTTGTAATTTGTATTAGAAATAACAGAAGACTGACCAGCTCACAAAGTGTGCTGGGTAGGATTTCCGTCAGTATTAACTTTGAATTGATGATGCTAACTACAAGATTTAATTGAGAATTTATCTCTGACTGTATTGTAATTTTAAGTGATTCCTATCAATCACTTAAATTCCTATCAAGTAGCATTTGTATATATTTTCCAAAAAATATGTAACGAAGTTCTGAACGAGACATTTCAAAATTATATTCATGCAATACCCCTGTTAGATGAATATAAAACTACAACCTGGAAGGTATGTTATTTAACATCAAAACTGAGAAAAGCAAATTGGCTCCAATTTGAGCAATAAAGGGTTTGATGGGTAGTGGCTACCAGGCTGTGTAGAGGGTTACCAGGCTCAGTCTGGTCTCAGCAAGGAAATCCCTGATTTGTTGCTTATCTTGGATGCTAGAGAGGGAGGCCAGTGGGAGGGTATCACATTTGATATCTAATCCACAGCTTTCACTGTGAAGATAAAGAATGTGATGCCCACATGAGCCATGTTCCTTATCATGTTGGTTGTTAGCCTTGAGTCAGCATCTAAGGGAAATATAAAGCCAATTCAACGTTTTGGATGTTTTTTTCTTTGAGGTTATCTCTTCCTTCTTTCAATCATCGTTATCAATACAGAACTCACTTCAGTTTGTTTTTCCATTCTGGCATTATCATCTAGAAAGTGAATTTAAGGGCCGGCTGACTGGCATGTTGGTTAGGAGTTGGCTGGGAGCACGAGCTCTGAGCAGCAGGGCTGCCAGTTTGGATCCCACATGTGCCAGTGACGCTGTGCCCTCTACAGCTAAGATGGTGAACAACAACAGCTCAACTGGGCTGGAGCTGAGCTGCGGTGAGCCGCCAAGAGCGGTCGTCCAATGGCCAGCGAGTGACTGCCTCACCTAGGAAGAGTGTTATGATAATACAAACATGGGCCAGTGAAGCGATGTCTTCCACAACTAGACTGAAGAACAAAAGGACAGCAACTTGTCTGTTCCCCTTCCCCGATTCCCCAACGCTGTTGCCTCCCGTAATTCCCCAATAAAATCTTTTAAAAAAAAAAGTGAATTTAATTCCTCTTTACTTCCTAAATTCCTTCTGCATTATGCCTTATTTTTTTCCCTTAGACACTTCTGATCGCAAGTAGATATTTATCTAATTATCTCTTTTGATCAAATATTG